ACTCCCAAAAGGAGTCTGGGGAAGTAGTTTAAGGACACGCCATCTCAAAATATGCCAAACTGGTATACTGAATTTTCCAAGCTGATATCACTGAAGGAACTGGGCCTTTAGAATGGGCCATTTGGCCTGACTTTCCCTACACGTAGCAAGCCACAAAGATTCTTTCGGGTTGGATATGCTTTACGTACCAATGTGGGGAAATAGGCTTGATCACCAGAGACTGGTAATTTGGCCTGGAATGAACCTGAATAAACATACTCCAAAGTAACACTTATCTTCCACGAGCTTCTCCATCATCCTTCCCCCTGGATATCTCTTAGTAACATCCCTAGAATTTACTATCCTAGTCCAGATATCCATTTTTGCTGTGCTTCTTTTTAAATTTATTATTCTTTGTCTAAAGTATAAAAACATACTTGGGTTCTTTCTTCAGACTTCACTCTCTTGTGAAAGTCCCCGTACAAGTATAAAGTTCCCGAAGCGCTTATGCTCTTCTCTTGCTGATAGGCTCTTACATCAGCTGAGTTCCCAGATCCAATCACAACTCCCACAGTGGAACTAAGGGAAGTAGAGCAGATCTCTTTCCCCCCTACGAATGGTAACAGACCCGACTGACGATCACCCCTCAGAGGCAGAGCTCTCATGCCAGGGCACCTCCAGGCTCTTTGCCAACCTGTAATTGAATGTCACGGAGTTAGCCGCCACATAACCACAATAAAGTCAGCTATGGCCAGGGTGACAAAGTGACTTCAGAGCAGATGTGAGACTTAACAAATGGAACCCCTAAACAGGAGGCAGTGGAAGATTAGTAGTTAGCTCTCCTCTGAGCACAGGCCAGGACTGTGCATCTAACATCTACTTTGACCATGTGGCTTGCTTTGTCAAAAGCATTGTGATGGAACTAACATAGATCACACTGAGGTGGACCTGTGAAGAGGTCTTGCATGATTCATTATGCTCTCACGTCTCTGTGACAGTGACAGTGACAGTGGAAGCACATATCCATGAGGGTCTGTATTAGCCTAGGTCCCTACTTGTCTTTACTGGGCTGAGATCCCAGCCAACTTATATTGGTCCTATAGCTTGAACACAAAAATATACATTGTTAAACCTCTGAGATATGGAGATTATTTCCTTATCACCAAATGTGTTGCTTATGCTACCTGACCTAGGGGAAACCATACATCCTTAAATTTGAGTCAGTGAATACTATATATATATATATATACACACATACATATATATGTATATATATGTATATACATATATATGTATGTGTATATATATGTATATATATGTGTGTGTGTATGTGTATATATATGTGTGTGTGTGTGTGTGTGTGTGTGTGTGTGTGTGTGTGTGTATATATATATATATATAGGGTATCCGGAGGGAAATCCTAGAAAAATGGGTAGCACAGAAATAATGGGGGTAGAAATTGGCAAAAGGCCAAAAGGCCCTATAAGAGGTAGGGGTAAGATCCTGAGAAATAAGGTTTTGCAACTGTTGACCCAACAATATATTTACCTCTTGAAAACTTGGAATATATTTATATCAGAAAACATATTTCAACCTCTATTCAAAAAGTCCTTAATAAATGGTAAGTCATTATAAGAAATTTGTTATTATTTGTATTTTGAGGGAATTTTAGTAAGTCAGTTCTTTTAACTCACATTCAACATGAATTTGACATATAACAAATTATATTTTGTGGCAAATAAAATTATGGATGGTTCTATTATGTAATGACTATAACATGATCTAGCAGTTTATGTCCCCTTCAGAGAGTATACTACATAGAGATGTAAATTCTTTAAAGCACAATTCTGCATAAATATATTTTCTGCACTGCACTGCCAACCTTGGGTCTTGGAAGTGATAAAGTGCAGATGCCTACAGTTGCAATCATAAAAATGTAATTGCTCAGAAAAAATATTTCTGATCCATTGGAGGAATTTATTACAGAGGGATGCAACTGTGTAAGTTATTACACACAGAAAATGAAAGTGAATGATTGAAATATATCCCAGGGTGAACATTCCTGCAAAATAACCTAGTGATTTACCTGTGCCCAAGAGAAAAAAAAATAGATTAAAGATAAATCAGGTTCAGTAGGGAAGACTTTGGCAACTATAAAAAGAGCAGATAAAGATTTATGAATAAATAAGTTTAGAAGTTAGAGTGACATAATAGTCTCTATGACCAATTGCTCCAAAAATTAAAATGCAATTTTGACTTTGAGTTATGTGCAGTGATAGTAATTTCTGTAGAACTTGGAATGCAAAGGAATATAACATGAAGATAAGCAATGAGGAGTGGTTAGAGTTTTTCACAGGACTACTAAATTGATAACCTCACCTGATAGCAGTGTAAATTTAAAGATAATAAACTTCTATTTGAATGTTTTTCAGTGTAATCAGAGGTTATATCTTACATTTAAAATAAGCCATATAACTATTCAAATTTAACACTCTTTGGAATAGTAGCCAAACCCGGAAGCAACCTAAAAGTCTATTAATAAATAAATTAATAAATAAAATGTAGGCTGTGTATATACTCATATATGTATACTATTAATTCATTTTTAGTAAAGAAACTGTGCCATTTGCCAAAACAGATGAATCTGGAGACATTATGTTAAGTGAACTAAGCCATGCAACTGTACAATAACTTACACAGAAAGACAAATACTATACAATCTCACATATATACAGAATCATAGAAGCAGAGAGTAAAATATCGGCTTCCAGCAGTAAAGGGTTGGTAATTGGGAAGACACTGATCAAAGAGTACAAACTTTCAATTATAAAATGAATCAATTTAGCGAGGCACGGTGGTACATGCCTGTAATTGCAGCACTTGGAAGGCTGAGGCAGGAGGTTCACCATGAGTTCAAAGCCAGCCTGCACTACACAGATTCTGTTTCAAAATAACAAAAAAAAGAATAAATTCTGTGGATCTAATGGACAGCATGCAAACTATTGTTAACAGTACTGTACTCAATACTTAAAATTTGATGATAGAATACATTTTAAGTGTTTTCACCACACACATATAAAATAGTAATTATGGGTGGTGATAGACATGTTAATTAATTTGACTGTAGTAATCATTACATAATACATATGCATATCAAATCACATCATAAACTTTGAATATCTATATTTGTCAATCATTTTGAAATAAGCAATCAGAAAAAAAGAATATGTAAGATATTCAACACAATGTTATCCTAGAAAAATCACCTCTAATGTAGTTTAGCAGGTATTTTGTGTTCACAAGTAATAACATATTGTTATCTTCAAGTCCATGAAACAGATCCATGAAACAGATAAAAGCTGAGCATCAAATCCAATAAGGTCAATTATTTTAAAACACCTCTTTGACTCTGAAATGCAGAATATTAGTACGACAAAATTATATAGATACACACTGGATTTTTTTAATAATGGGGTTCTCCTTATCAAAAATGAGTGCATTTCAAAGTCAAAGAGCTTCCCAGAAAAGTAGCACAGCCATCCTCAGCAACAGTGAGGTCCCGAGCTCCCCCGATGATGAGGACAGCCGAGTTCCCATCAGGAAAGCCAGTGCAGCAAGCTTCTCCAGGAGACTGAGCAGTGCACCATCTTCCCCTCTGGAGCCAGGAAGCAATGCTCAAAGTGAGGACCACAGCTCCCCCAAAGTGAACCAAAGCCATTCTCAGTGCCAACAAGGTCCTGAACTCCTTGGAAAATACAAACAGCCAAGTTCATCAGGAAAGCCAGCATGATAAGTTCCTCCAACAGAATGAACAGATCCTTACAGCTTTTCTCAGTTTCTGACAGCCTCACTTCTTCTTCTCCATTTCTACCTCTGGGAAGCTCTGGTTCTTGCATCGCTTCCTGGCTCCAGTGCAGATCCCTCAGCCTTCATAGCACAGATCTTTCATCCTACTTGCACAGACTTTCTAGCTTCCACTACTGACCTTCAGGCCTTTCCAGTGCAGATCCATGAAACAGGCCTGCCTGAGATATTGTTATGGGCTCTGGGCCTTCAGTCGGACCCATGGGAGGCATCTTTATGGGCTCTAGGTCTTCAGCTGGACTCATGCAGGACATTATCAAAGGATCCAGGCCCTGAGCTGGATTCTTTGGTTTTTAGTGTGTGGACGGATTTCCTGCACTCTCTTGCATATGATTCTTTGGATGACTATTATAAATATTTTTCTGAATTTTTTTTATTTTTAAAGGTAAGGAATGAAAACACATTAACAAACAGACATAAAAAAACAACACCCAAACAATACAAGCAATACAGAATTTCAGACCAGATGACAGACAATTAACAATAGTTGTTGTATTACATATTGCTATCTTCAAATTGGTTACTCAGTTAAACAAATATAGGCATGTAAAAGCAGCAGAGAGCAAGCCTCTTTCCCTCCCTTATATTGTATCCAGGGGCTTTTCTCCCCCTTTGGCTCTTGTTGCTTTTGCTGTTTCCTGCTGCCATGAATGTTGCTCTCTGCCATGTGCCACTCTGCCTTGGAGCCAGCTGAGTATGGACTGAAACTTCCACAGACTGTGAGCTAGATAAACTTGTCCTTCCTTAATTCTGGGCATCAGGCATTTTGTCTCAGCAATGAGATAAAAGTAACCAGGACAACAACCATATCTCCTGGAGCAAGTCACTGGGATTCTTTCTATAATAACCATGGTTTTAACCACACTTCTTGCCTTGCTCAGGTTTCATGACTACCAAACAAGATAATTTATACAAAGGTAGTTTGAAAATTATGTGTACATATTTATATTGCTCTTGCTGCCACAAAAGAATCTGGGAGAAACTCAGAATTTTATTATTAATACTAAATACACATTTTTCAATTTTAATATTTTAATTAAAGGACCATTTTAGAAGACATGTCATATATAAAAGTCAAGTCTTTCCTTGAATTATTATTTTTTCCATTTTTTAAACTATTATGCAGTAACTGCCCATAACTCCCATGGTTTTCATACCTGGATTATGAGCGGCTCCAGTAATTTCTCAACAGTAAACGTTTGGACCTGCAGATCCTGAGGGTTGGTATTCAGCATGATTGGTGTTCCAGCCGACATGCTGCCTATACACAAACACACAAAAATGATGCTGATCAGTAAATAAGATATATTTTAAAGAAGAGCACTCATTCAAGTTATGGAGCAGGTGAAACTTGTATTCAGCACCTTTTCCTGATATCAGCTATAGGCCTCAGAGGATAAGGGTGCCAAATCCACCACCTGAGAAACAACAGAACTGTTTAGTACACTAACAACTTAATCTATGCTAGTAAATTCATAACTAAATTAAAAACCTATCAAATATGTTTGCATTTGACCAACAGTCTTGTGTGAAAAGAACTGCCAACTTGATGAGACACACCGTTCAGCGTGCAGTCCTTCGACTTCCATGAAATCACAGCACTGAAATAGCCTCACATGTTTTACCTGTTCTCATTAATGATGACTTAGGTGAGAATCCAAGTAGAATTTCAGAAGATACGTGGTGTTTCTACTTGCTTTGGGGGTGTTCATTTTAAGATTTTGCAGAAAGTTAGGGGAAATTTACTTTCTTATACAGAAATTAATGTGAATCAGTGTAGATGTTTCAAAAAAAGAGAAAAACCCCTGAGAAGGCATTGATATGTGGGCAAGACAAATAAGAAAAAAATAATAATTATAATTATAAGCCATCCTTTGAGACATTAACATCATCTTTAAGAGTCAGTTTGAGACACTTGTAGAAAAATTGTTGTACCTGGAAAATATGGGAGTGAAATAAATCAGATACACAAGCTTAAATACTGCCCATAATATTAACCTATTAATATTGACCTATTCACAGTCAGTAATCAACTAGCAAATATTTACTGAAAGTTTACAGTAAAGACTACATAAAGGGTTAAAAACAGACAGCTCTCCTAATTATGCTCTGACCTATTTTAAAAAACAAAAACCTTTAAAACTTTTTTTTTTTTTTTTTTGGTTTTTCTCCGGT